ATACTTATTGAATGCACGATGATACTTGTGACGGCCTCAAATAGGTCCTTCTTGATAAGATTAGATTATAATTACGCATCGAACGTAATTGGGAATCTGATTTGGGTCACGTATATCATTTAAAGGTAGACGGTATGGCAGAACCGTAATATCCCTATAGGTACTGTTAAAGAGGCCATACACGCTAGGTTTTACATGATGGTTTTAGCCGTGCATGCAAAACCGACAAGCACCGATAACTGTGCAGTTTAATCACATAACGACAAAACGGGGTGAATAGAATTCGAGGGGTGAATAAATGTTAGAATATTTGAGGCTCCTGAGACTCAACATAATGCTGAGGTGGAGGTCCGTTCGGCACGGGCAAGCATCTATTTTGCCAATTTTGCGATGTTTATTTTTTGTTTTAATTTTGTTATTATCTTATTTATTTTAATTTCTCATTTTTGTCGACATCTCTGACTGTCTGTGCATGCAATGTGACGAATAAATGTTTTCTTACTTTCTTTCATTCCTTACACGCGCAAACTACAAGCACGAATTAATGCTTCAATTGAGGACTTATCACTTCATATGCCTGAATGTCGAAATGTTGCTCAAAATTAGCTATTTTTATGGGTTAAGTCAGCAAACGAGGAGACGGATTACCCGATGGCAAGCAATCAGCGTCGCCCATGGACACCTGGAACGCCAGAGACGTTACAAGTGCGTTGCCGCCCTTTTGGGGATTAGGAATTTGAAGACTGTTGGGGATTCAGGGATTGGGGAGATGGGGGGGAGGTGTAATTAGGCCTCCGATAACCTCGATCACACGACGTAACACAACGCAAGCGTTGTTTCTAGCCGGCACATCCGTGCCGAAGTATGGCTCTCCCACAATTAAATGTATTTGCATGTATGCATGGCGTAGCAATATTATGGTAAACAACTCTTTTAAACTGTCAAACACCAAGCGGTCACCGGTGACCGCAACCTATTGTTCTATAATTGTGTCTACAAAACCGGTACTCGACGAGTTAAATAGGATGTTCACAGTTTTATTTAGTCAACTAGGATAGATGAAAAGCACAATTTTGTGGTATCGATCTTAACAGACATAGGAGATAGTTATTCTCGAAAAAATTACACGTGCGTAGTCTTCTTGCGACCGGGTTGTATATGAGCAGACGTAATAGTATGAACATGGTGGAAGCTAAATAAGTATGGAAGGATCGTAGTAGGTGACGGTCCTCACAAATCCAGGCCTTCTCCGTTTAGTTAATTAAACGGGCTTTGTCATAACCTCCACGCTCATCGGACGCATTGGAGATCATATTTTAAAGGGCAGATTTATCAGAGTGCTGTTTTCAGTCTGTCAAATGTGACAGACATTTCATACAATATTTAAGTGTGGGAGAGCCATGCTTCGACACGAATGGGCCGACTCGACCGGAGTACCAGAGACCACAGAAAACCGACGCGACGAGAAACGTCGTAGCGTTGTTTCACGTCGTGTGAGTGAGGTTACCGGAGCCCCAATTGCACCCACATCTATACAAAGAAGGCCTGGACTTGTGAGGATCGTCACCTAGCTACGATCCTTACATAGGTACTTCTTTAGCTTCGATCACGTTCATACTATTACATCTGTTCATACACACACCAGACGCGAAATAATTACGCACGTGGTATTTTTTTTTATTGGGACAAGCCCGCCATAACCTCCCAAAACTGTGGTATATAATGCAACGTGGTATATACCCAAATTCTTAATCCCAAAAAGGCCGGTAAGCACTTGTAACACCTCTGGTGTTCCGTGTGTCCATGGGCGGCACGATTGCTTACCATCAGGAGATCCGTCTGCTCGTTTACCGGCCTATGCCATTAATAAAACTACCTACGAATGTCAAAAATTTATTCATATTTATAAATTTTGGATTGATAAAGGTAAATAAGGTGTTAATTTAGCTGTCGCAAAAAAATATATTCTACTACTCTACCATTAATAGACACCATTAGGTATTACCAAATTATTTTATTTTAGGGTCGTGGTGGCCTGAAGGTTTAACACGCCCGCTTCTCATGCATGAGGGTACGATTTCAAAACCTACCAACGTCCCTGCCCAATGTGACGTTTTCCGAGTTATATGTACTTTCTAAGATTATCCAGACACCACTGACAAACGGGGAAGGAAAAAAATCATGGTCTAAGCTTATAATTTCTAATTATAAGTTTGAAATCGCCAACCCGCGTAAGCGTGGTGATTAATGCTCGAACCTCCGTGTGAGTAGAGGCATTTGATCAGCAGTGGCCACTTGTAGGCTGTTACTATTGATGTTGATTACAATTTTAAATCTAAAAACGAATGAGGGAAATGCCAAGAAAACATTACATTAGATAATACGTAGAATGATCGACTTATCGTTGTATTGTACTATAAACAAACATTTCATGACAGAACGAAAACAAAATAAAATGACTCACACAGCTTGCGAACTACGCATTTATCAGAGCGAATTCTTAATCATTTCGCATCATACGATGTTTTAAATAACCAGTTGTTAAATACCACGTGGTGGGTTTTTTCTCATTTATATTATCAAGTGTTTTTATATCAAAACTTACGTATGACATACTAAATTAATTATTATGTTTTCGGCTTACATAACATAACATCACGCCTTTTATCCCCAAAGGCAGAGGTGTACATACTGTGCATTATACCACTGTACAATGTAACACCCACTTTTTCACTATTTATGTTATGAGTCCCATGTAATAGGGGATGAGCCTATTGCCATATCCATCCATCAACAGCCTATAAATGCCCACTGCTGAGCAAAGCCTCTTCTCACACGGAGAAGGTTAGAGCGTTAATCATTGCCATATACCGGGCACATTTCCTGACTCCGTGCTACTACTGAGAATATTTAAAAACCCAGTAATATTTTGCCCGGCCCGGGAATCGAACCCGAGACCCCTTACCCGGCAGTCGCACTTACGACCACTCGGCCAATGAGGCAGTTACATTATCGACTGTTTTTATATTAGAACTTATATAAGACATACTAAATTAATTAATATGTTTTCAGCTTACACACGTAACTGTTTGACGATGAACTCGACTAGCATGGCAAAACCTTTCGCATTCATAATATTAGGTAGTAAGATTTTTTTTTATTATTTTTTTAAGGGGGGGAAATCATCGAATGACTGATCCCGCCTGGGTGAGGCGGGAGGGAGTGTCAGACTCTTACTGACTAAAAACCACCCCGTTCCTTCTCCTGCACGTCGAGCCGGAGCCCCGGTTACCCGTTAGGTTCTCCGCGACTAGGTAGTAAGATAGCCTTTCTCGGTCAATGGACTATCCAACACAAAAATTCATTTCGACCCAGCAGTTCGAGTGATTAACGCTTGCAAGTAAAAAGCAAACAAATGCTTTAGCTTTAAAACATCATTTTCTATGCAACTAGTTATGCGAGTTAAATATAGAATCACCGCCTACATATTTCTATTGCGCTCTGAGCCGAAATAGGAATTATATTTACGCCAGTTTTCTCATATCTTTAAGTCAAGGACATACTAGGGTTTGTTTAAGGTGGGAAAATCATCGAATGACTGCTCCCTGGGTGAGGCGGGAGGGAGTGTCAGACTCGTACTGACTAAAAACCACCCCGTTCCTTCTCCTGCACGTCGAGCCGGAGCCCCGGTTACCCGTTAGGAGGACACACTAGGGTAGGGGACAAATGGACGTAGTTATGCAGAAACGCTCCAAGTTTCAACCCACAAGTCACCCGAAATCGAGATAATATGATCTTACTACCTTTAATAGCAGCTAGTAGCAGATTAGCAAAATTTAAGACTTAAATCTTGGAATCTTTTTCCCTTTCTGCATAACTACGTCCAAATGTCCTGCGAGCGTGTCGAACGACATGAAGTCCGGCAACGTTAACGTTGCGCTACTTCACCCAACGTCGCTGGTGACACGTGTCGCATCGCAGGACATTAATTGTCCCCTACTGTATCCTCGGCATTATGGACCTATTTTAACATTGAAAGATTCGTAAAATTATTATTCTTATTATGTCAATTTGACTAACTGAAAATCATATAGGATTTTAGGCAAAGAGGCTATATTTACACCGTTTAATTTCTGTTAGAATTTAAAATAAGTTCCTATTAGATCATTATCATGCACATATCAGTATTGTCACTGTCCACTGCCTTACAGTCGTCCCCCAATGCCTAAACATCGCGAGGTTAGAAGCGACCAGCATACAGCATCTGTCTGGGACCTTCATCAGGTCGTCCGTCCACCGTGTGGGTGGTCATCCTACGCTGCGCTTGTCGATTCTACATACATTGTCCTCAAATATCCTAAACTTTTTAGAAAACAATATGGATTTGGTTTTTTCCAGTTTATTTCACTTTAAATAGAAAACAAAATTGATTCCATTTATCTATTAGATTGAAACGCATTATCTTTGCCTACGACACAAAAAGATAAGCATAAATATAAACAAATAGTCAATAAAAATAAATAAATCGATGTGCAGTCATTAGGTAGATGTACCAGGCAAACAGAAAATATAGGTAAGCAGTTTGCTGTATTTACAGATGAAAATATTATCCAACTAAATAAAGAAGTTGTTTTTATATACAGCTTCCGATGTAAATGACGTGGCTATTTATAATACTGGTTAATCACAGTACATAACATGTACGCATTATTATTTTATGACGCAAATTAAATTATTGACCTCGAGAGTTGAACTCGAGACCGCCATATTGGTTATTTTGAAACGTCTAAAACGTAAACATTGAACAAGGAATCTTTGAATTCTGCGTCTTACTTTTTAAAAATATCGTTTTATTGGGTTTTTAAGGCAATTCTTATTGTTTTGCAACCATTTGTAGTGAATAAAGCGATTAGAAACACGTAAATAGTGTTTCGTCACGCACCAAACAAGTTTTGTTGACACAAGTTCTTTATTTATTTATGTCTGCAAAATGTACTCACCGCTCAGATCTTCGATGGTGTTCATTTTTCGAGTCGTCATTTTCACGTTAAACAAATTCACAACACGATTAAACTGTAACTAGGACGAAATAATGCACTTTCGAAGGAATTTTATGAAGTTTTCAATTTTTCACAAAGAGAACAACCTCTCGCGACAGCCTTTGTTTTCTTTTTGTGTTGACTGTTTTGATTTTGTGCCGCTGTGACAGAAGGCGTGCTAATCGCAGTTTGTTCTGATTGGTTATTTGTCTATTTTATTTAGCCAATTGTAAGCAAGAACGTCAACTATACGATTTTTGATTGGTTACCATTTGTAAACAAAAAATAATGTTGCCAGTTAAGAAATATAGAGAAAACTTTCAAGGACACCCACTTTCACTGAATTTTTTGTACCATAATTTTATTTAAAAGCTTTTTTATATTTGGTAGGCCGAAATTTGATCACTATCTCGCCTGGTGATAAGCGATGATGCGGTCTACGAGGAAGCAGGCCGTCTCATAAGCAACCTATTCACACGGGCCTTAAAGATACCTAGCCAAAAAATTCCACTCCTTAGCAGTACACACAAGGAAGCTTGATGCGAATATTAGTACATAATACTATTTGGAAATAATTGTATTTTTGAGGCAAAAATTATGTCTCTTAAGAACTAAAATTAACTATTTACACCGCATCATAATATTCTAAACTATGATCTCAAACTTCAATAATTGTATAAAAACGAGATTTTGTATAAAACTGTATAATACAAAAATGTAATGTTAATAAAATTATTTACGTTACTTAAATTAGTAATTTTTATTAAAATGTGAATAATATTTTAGATTTTAGTAGGGCAATAATTGCTTGACTTGGCAACATTATTTACCGTTATCTTCATTCATTCAGTCATTGTTCTTGTTCATTCATTCAGTCATTTACTTCGGGCAATGCCAAAATGCATTGACATTCACGTTGCAGGTGTCATCTGCGCGACTTTGCCTCGGAACGTTTTGTTCTACCGAATTTGTGTGATGACATAAGTTCAAGAACCGCTAATATTTTCGTGTACTGTGCAGTTAAGTGATATTTTATAATGAGTGATAAGAAAAGTGAAGCCTCGCTACATCACGATTTGGATGTTATGGAAAATCCTAAGTAAGTGCTTTATTATTACCTTAAATCTTAGTAATTTTAGTGTTGTAGATGACAGCTGATTTGAGCCGCGGGAAAGTCAAAAGGCGCCAAATGCTGGGGTTGTGATTCCCTGTATTTTTAATGTTTTTCCTGTTATTTCTGCTATAACTAGTTCTTATTTTCCAGGAAACGTTTTTGCTCAGAGAACACCAATCGTAGGAGCTGGAGTTTACTCGAGCGGTCAACTGATCAAGAGGTAAGTCATCGCCCGGTTCCCGCTTTTTTTCGTGGTATTTTTTTGGTTAGGTTTTCTATGATTTGCTGTAAATACCACATGCCGATAGTACAATAGCATTCCAAAATACCTCTCATGCTCTCCAAACACCCGTGATTGTAGAATATTACTCAAAAAACCCAGATTAAAACCTTTTTCGTATATTTTCTAAGAGCTGGGTTATCTACGATAAAATTAGGTTTTTCTAATCAATGACTAGCGAAGTTATCTTTAGTTTAGGCTATTATCGTGTTTCTATTCGTGTTTTATTAAAATATAGCCAAATTCTGAGTTAAAAGTCGTAACTTTACGGTCTAGGCCGTAAGTTCGTTGACCTGCGTTTTTTGGTGCGTTTGCGATATTCTCCCATATTTTTTAATGAGTACAGTTTTTGACATTGTTTCTAGAATAGCTTACTTGTGTTTTATACCGACCTCGTTACGAAGCTGACTGGTTATAATTACAAAAATACTTATTTAAATCACGAAACATTGATCATCTAAATTTCTAAGGACTTACTTACACGTGTGAATTTCCAGTCTAAACTTGCCTAAGTCCTTCTCACCTACTCAGATTTTCAGTACTCACAACTAGGTATATGTATGCAAAATTTCTTTAAGATTGGTTGAATAGATGAAGCCTAAAGAGGTCATAAACTAACTTAGTTTTGCATTTAACATAATAGTTGAAGACAAGAAAATGTAAAACATAAAATTTCTCTTCAATCTCCCTAAGTGTTCGAAAAAGATATAGTACTTATCTTCTCTAGTCTAGTCTTCTGGTATTTTGATAATCATACATTGACAAAATTATCTAGTTTTTCTGTCTTAAATCATTTAGTAAAGCATAGAGCTTGTATATGACTAGCGACCCGCCCTGGCTTCGCACGGGTGCAATATACATGTATTATACATATAAACCTTCCTTAAGAATCAATCTATCTATTATAAAAAAACTGCATCAAAATCCGTTGCATAGTTTGAAAGATCTAATACATAGGGACAGACAGACAGCAGGTAGTGACTTTGTTTTATACTATGTAGTAAAATCTAGGAGGGTTTTAAAAAATACCATGTTTTTCCCCATGTTAACGGATCTGCATACAGCCTTGTGGTATTTAAAAAATACCATCTTTACCTTATTACATGGACTCATAACGTAATCAGTGAAAAGTAGTTACACTGTATAAGATGATTAAAAACAAATGTATTTTAAAAATAAGATAACTAACACTATTCTAGAATGTTAACCTTTTGAACGTCAGAGCAAAAATACATGAACCTGCCCTCAACGCCAAGCCACAAATTCCGCGCAATTTTCTACAAAAGAAATAGGGATTCCAATGGGGAATCAAATCGTTGATTTCGTGTTTCCATTTCCGCTTTTTCTGTCATGTATTTGTGTCGTTGGCGTCCTGGGACAGTGTTCGCTGGTCACGTATTTGTGACATTGGCGCTCAAAAGGTTAATATGTTTGTTAGGAAGTGTAACTGCAACTATGTGTACTATGTTACAATGCCAGACCTTTTAAATTGTCAAACACCGCAAAGACACCGGTTACCGCAACCTATTGTTTTTTAAACTGTCAAACACCAAGCGGTCACCGGTGACCGCAACCTATTGTTCTATAATTGTGTCTATAATGACGGTACTCAAAGGGTTTATATCTAGATAGAGGTATCACACCTTTTATCCCCTAATGGGTAGGCAGAGCTATAAAGGCAAGCTATTCTTTTTAATTTCTTAAAACCCATAAACATTATATCCCCAAAAAGATAAATAACAGCTTACAATAAGTACAATGAGACAACCACCATACCATGATTTATCATCATTCAGGTACTTATTAACTCGTTGAGTACTGTCATTATAGACACAATTAACTCGTCGAGTACCGGTTTTGTAGACACAATTATAGAACAATAGGTTGCGGTCACCGGTGACCGCTTGGTGTTTGACAGTTTAAAGAACAATACAGTAGAAACTCGATTATCCGGCTCTCAGTTATACGGATTCGCTATTATCTGGACTACCGACTCATTATATTAAAATTACCTACAAGCCCAATTGCCCAAATTTATGCAAGGATGAACGTCTCGAACCTGCACTACCCCGCACGCGCCCTGCGCGATTCGTTATTGTTTTAGTTAGTTAGCTAGGTGTTGTTCCTCCGAACAGAGGCCTTAGTACGAGTTTCTTTTTCGTTTACAGTAATAGGAAATGAAAAATAAACTCGTACTGTATTTGTTGTTTTTAATAAATAAGATACTAACATCGTATGTACAACATAATTATGTATGCACAAAACTCGCTTTTCTTAGTATATTCGATTATTCGGATTTTCGATTATCCGAATGCCTAACGACAATAATTAGTCCGGTTAATCGAGTTTCTACTGTAGGTTGCGGTCACCGGTGTCCTCGTGGTGTTTCACAGTTTAATTACATGAATTACCTAATTAACAAAAGCCCTACTAGAGCCTTGTAATTGAACTATAGTCTTGTGTCATTTTAAAATAACGATAGCTTCGTTTTATAGCAGAATTATGACTGCCTCATTGGCCGAGTGGTCGCAAGTGCGACTGTCGGGCAAGGGGTCTCGGGTTCGATTCCCGGGTCGGGCAAAGTATTACTGGGTTTGTAAAAACCCCAGTAGTAGCACGGAGTCTGGAAATGTGCCCGGTATGGCAATAGGCTCACCCCTTATTACATGGGACTCGCATAAATAGTGAAAAGTGGGTGTTACATTGTACAGTGGCATTAAGTGCCGTAATGTGCACCTCTGCCTACCCCTTCGGGGATAAAAGGCATGATGTTATTTATGTATAACAGAATTATTCAAAGGTCTCTCTGCCTCATTGTACTTATTTTAAGCTGTTATTTATCTTGGGGATTTAAATGGTGGGTTTATGGCTTTTAAGAAATTAAAAAGAATAGCTTGCCTCTTTACCTCTGCCTACCCATTCGGGGATAAAAGGTGTGAGTTCTATTATGTTCAAAAATAATAGAATTTGAACTAACATTATGTTACTAATCAACTCTTTTGTCTTGAAGCTTTTGTGTTCTTAGTTAAACACAAAAAGATAGCTTTAAACAAATCTCTTAAGTCCTTACCTGACATTTTATAGGTTTCGCTTTGTAGTATTTTAAAATGGCAATAACATCTTTGTTCTAAGATTAACTATGACCAAGTTACCTGCCCGTTTAAGTATTTTATTTTATTTGATAAGATTCATAACGTAGACATGGCAAAAAGTGGGTGTTACATTGTTTTAAAGTACTAGCAACCCGTCCCGATTTCCTATGGTGATTGCTCTTTCTCTATTATATTCCTCTTGAATCACTATCTATAACTATTATTATCCTTACTTCCTTACTAATATTATAAATCGGTAAGTGAGTTTGTTTGTTTGTTCTGCTTTCACGCCGTAACTACTAAACCGGTTGCTTTGAATTTTTGCAGACGTAAAGTTAGAAGTCCGGATTAAATAATAGGGTAGTTTTTATCCCGGAAAAATGGAAAAATTTGATAAGAAAAACAAAATCATTGGTATAGATGGCGCTGTTTGTATTTGTCATATAGGCTACTTTTTATCCGTTTGTGAAGCGAGCGAAGCCGCGGGTAAAAGCTAGTATAAAATAACGGCACTTAATGCCACTGTATTGTACAATGTAACACCCACTTTTCACTATTTATGTTATGAGTCCCATGTAATAGGGGGTGAGCCTATTGCCATATACCGGGCGCATTTCCAGACTCCGTGCTACTACTACCGTGAGATTTAAAAAAAAAACCAGTAATACTTTGCCCGACCCGGAAATCCAACCCGAGACCCCTTGCCCGGCAGTCGCTCTTGCGACCACTCAGTGGCATTAAGTGTCGTAATGTGCACCTTTGTCTATCACTTCGTGGATAAAAGGCGTGATGTTATGTGTAACGGAGGAGTCCTAAATATTTCTTCTTCTTTATAGGTTTTGCAAGAGATGGGTGTCAGTATTTTGGAGTCTGATGAAGAGGCATCGTGTGGACCTAGTTCGTCAGGACTTGTGAGTAAACCTTTCTTTCTTTTATAGCATATTTTCTTTAGGAAGTTATAACCTAGGTGTCTTCAAGGCCCGAGTGAATAGGTTGCTTATGGGACGACGTGCTCCATCGTAGACCACATCATCGTTTACTAGACTACTAGACACCGTAGACCACTATCTCACCTGCAGCTGTAGCCAAATGCCATTTAGCGCTTGTCTACTTGTAGAATAGAAAACCAAATTATATGGAATTGACGTACATTTTGTCACTTGTCAGTGTCATCCCCATATACATTATGATTTCTACTCTCTCTGTAGACAAGCTAAAGTGGCGTTTGGCTATAGGCCCTGGTGGTGCACGATGATGCGATCTACGATGGAGCACGTCGTCCCATAAGCAACCTATTCACTATTTATATAGATAGTATTAATAAACTCTCATAACCAACACAATAATAACGTATTTTTCTCTTACAGGCCCAAAAAACTACAAAAAACGTTCAAGATATTGAGAATGTAAATCCGAATGTAAATTCGGTGACGTCACCACGCTCTAGGTTCAGTCCTAAAAGCCCTAAGCGGAAAGCTAGTCCTAACGCCGGACCTTCAAAAGCTAAAACAACAACTCCTAAGAGTTCAGAAAAACGTAAGTATTTCTATCTCTTTTAATATGTCGACCAGGGTGCTTACTCCAACTACTGTGCAGGGTGCTTCCTACCAACGGCAAGTACCAATGTGACTTTTTCCGAGTTATATGTACTTTCTAAGATTATTTAGACACCACTGACAAACGGTGAAGGAAAAACATCGTGAGGAAACCTGGACTTATAATTTCTAATTATAAGTTTGAAATCGCCAACCCGCATTGAGCAAGCGTGGTGATTAACGCTCTAACCTTCTCCGTGTGAGAAGAGGCTTTGCTCAGCAGTGGGCATTTATAGGCTGTTGATGGTGCTTACTCTTGAAACCAATCTCAATGTCAATGCAATTTCAATCCAATAATATCTCAATAATTATTCAATGTCAACACTATCCAACCACAATCGTAGCTGTTACAATAGCATTCAGAATACGGAATATAAAGACAAACTCAATACCGTTTACTTCATTCAATATCCACGCAATACGGATGCAATGGGCGCTAGTGTTGCAACTCAAGAGTACGACACAATATCAATGTCGATCGATCGGAATTGGAGTCAAGAGTAAACCCCTGTTACGAACTATGTGATAAAATCTAAGGATCTGAATTTGACACACTTGTAACTGTTGTATCATCATGAAACTTGGCAATTGTACGTAGATTAGATGACAATACAATATTATGGTGCTATCGAGCTGGTCTGATGATGGAACCTTGGTCTCCCAACTAGCATTTACTACTATATCTTTTCTTTTTTGAGTGGGGAAATCATCCAATGACTTCTCCCACCTGGGTGAGGCGGGAGGGAGTGTCAGGTTCTTACTGACTAAAAACCACCCCGTTTCTACTCCTGCACTTCGAACCGGAGCCCCGGCAACCCGTTAAGTCTTCCGCGGCTCCGTATCGGCATCGTCTCGCGATCCCCGACGCCCGGAATGTCTCTCGCGACGGCCGGGTCGTGAGGAGGTTCGTTCCCTCACGCGCTCCGCGTCCTCCTTAGCTAGCATGAATGCTTCGCAGAAGGAGGAGACGGCATCCCAGTCCCCCTCGCTCCGTACCATGGTCATTTACTGCTGTATCTGGCCATCAAATGAGCGGAGATTTAGCCCGTAAGAGCTGCCCAACATCCGAAAGATGTTATTGTCTCACTTGGTTCATCATTGTAGTACTCTATTGGTCAACACGAATGGTGCCCAATAGGGCTGATGCCGATACGGAGCCGCGGAAGACTTAACGGGTTAGCGGGGCTCCGGCTCGAAGGGCACGAGTAGGAACGGGGTGGTTTTTAGTCAGTAAGAGTCTGACACTCCGTCCCGCCTCACCCAGGCGGGAGCAGTCATTCGATGATAATCCCTCCTTAAAAAAAGTTCTCTATTGGTTCCAAAGTAGTTCATAAGGCTTTTTTCAAAAAATATCTAAGTCAATTCTTAATTTTTTTCAGTGAAACCGCTCCAGGAGACTGAACAGCATATCTTGGAAACCAGTCTTGTTGATGATTATCTGATAGAAGAGGAGACTCCTCTGGGTCAATCAGTCAGCGCTGGATACATGCCCACTGCAGGGGCTACGTACAGCGCTGGTAGCGACAGCAGCGGGGGACGGCAAAGTTGCACGCGTAAGTTGCTATAATTATTATTACAAATCGGACTTCAACCTCCTTTTTATGAAGTCGGTTGATATCCTATCCTTATACATGTCGCTTTTTTGCCATACCTATTATTGGAAGCAAGTATAACAGCTCACACATAGGACCCACTTAGTTTTTAGTCAAATTTCCGTGGTGCTTGGCGACTGGGCTTCACCCAGTTGTACAGTCTCTTCTTTGTGCCTTTAGACTTAATTCATTCTGTCTCCTGCAGTAATTCACCGAGGGAAGTGGAAACCATAGTTTTTTCTTCTTCTCCTCTTAAATATCTTTTGATTCATTTCGTTGCGGGAACCAAGACAGTTACTCACGCCCCTGGGACGCGCCGCACTTCAGTGTTCCGGTGTTTTCATGGTTGTATCTACTGTAGATCCTGGTGCACAGGAGTTGCAGCGGTTTTGGGAGGTTGTGGCGGACTTGTCCCAATAAAAACCCTTATACATGCATAAATCCGGAATGGCGATATATTAAAGAAGGACCGATTAAAAGTACCCCTAAACAACGAGCGTGCATGAAAATTTTGATGACTGTTGATGAATAGAAAGAGGGTGTTCCATAGTGTCTGCCTTTCCAATGGGAGACTGGCATGAAGTTACATATAAATGCATGCAGGTCAAATTGAGGATTTCTTTCTTTATTTTGAAGTCTGTCAAAACTATTCCAATGATTAGTGACTGAATGAGTAATCACTGTAATTATAGTTCGTAGAGTGGTGTGTGATATGTATGCGTTGTAGGAGTTTAGGGGTCATCCATTAATTACGTCACACGAATTTCATGATTTATATCCCCTCCCCCCGTCCCACAGCTAGTCACATTTGGGAGACGCCCCCCCTCCTAGTGTGACGTCACATTTTGCAGAATTACACTATAGAAACTATTGTTTTTTCACTTAAATTACTTTAAAAAAATATTTATGTCAAATCAAACAATTAACTTAATAATTTGACTGCACGGTTGGTGCGGTGGCTGGGCAACTGGCTGCCGTGCAATGCAACGTGTCGCGGGTTCGATTCCCGCACGAGACAACACTTTGTGTGATCCACAGATTGTTGTTTCGGGACTGGGTGTCATTGTGTATGTGATATTGTATGTTTGTAAACGCACCCACGATACAGGAGAAAATCCTAGTGTGGGGCAACGTCTTAAAAAAAAAAAAAATTAATACATTTATGTTTCGTATTTTAACACAGATTTTAATAGTTTTTGAAATGTGACATCACAAAGTTTTGGATCCCTCCCTCCCCCTTCTCACACAATGTCTCACTTCGTCGACCCCCTCCCTCCCCCTTAAGTTGTAACGTAATTTATGGATGGCCCCGTATGGGAGTGGTGGAAAAGTATAACACTGAAAATTATTAATTTAATATTTGCCCATGCTGAGAATTTGTTAGTTATTCATTACATCCTATTTATTGAATCCATGACGGATACCATACGGACAAGACCATATGGTCATTAAAATTAAGTCGCTCCCGCAAAAGTAATTGAATGATTTTGAATGTATTTTGACATAGAAATAGCTATTGCAATCTATAATAACACCTAGTAATGCTGTTTAAGCTAAACGAGCATACGGATCACCTGATGGTAAGCAATCTGCGTTGCCCATGGACACCTGGAACACCAGAGGCGTTACCGGCCTTTTGGGGATAAGGAATTTGAGTATTGTTGAGTTTAGGGATTGGGGAGGGGTTAATTGGGCCTTCGGTAACCTCACTCACACGACGAAATACAATGAAAGTGTTGTTTGACTTCTATTGTTTTGCTTGGCTGAGGTATCACTCCGGTCGAGCCGGCCCATTCGTGCCTAAGCATGGCTCTCTTAAACTTTTTTTCTCAGTATATCTACGTGAGGCAACCATCATTTTTATTAAGTCAAAATTTTATATTGTGTCATATTTTAAATGTTTTAACCAATACAAATTTATTTTCAGCTCTTGGCATGGAAGACGATCTAATACTGGAACGCCGTTCTAAATCAGAGCCTACTGAGACCGAAGGCGATTCCTTCAGGTTGCTCTCCGATGAGATGATGCTGAGCATATTCAATTGGTTGCCGAAACGGAGCCTTGCACATTGCATGGTTGTTTGTAAGAGGTATGTAGACATTATATTTTTTTTTATACCACAACGGTGGCAAAATAGCTCACGGCCCACCTGGGTGCTTACTCTTGAAACCAATCTCAATGTCAATGCAATTTCAATCCAATAAAATCTTAATAATTATCAAATGTCAAAACTATACAACCACAATCGTAGCTGTTACAATAGCATTCAGAGTACGGAATATAAAGACAAACTCAATACCATGTAGTTCATTCAATATCCTCGCAATACGGATGCAATGGGCGCTAGTGTTGCAACTCAAGAGTACGACACAATATCAATGTCGATCGATCGGAATTGGATTCAAGAGTAAGCCCCCTGATGGTACGCTTGGAATACATGGGGCATTACATGCAGACCCATAAATTATTTATTATCATTTGACTGCCTCATTGGCCAGTGCAACTGCTGAGCAAGGGGTCTCGGGTTCGATTCCCGAGTCGGGCAAAATATTACTCGGTTTTTAATTCTCAGTTGTAGCCCGGAGTCTGGAATTGTGCCCGGTATATGGCAATAGGCTCACTCCCTATTACATGGGACTCATAACATAAATAGTGAAAAGTGGGTGTTACATTGTACAATGGCATTAAGTGCCGTAATGTGCACCTCTGTCTATTCCTTCGGTGGTAAAAGGCAAAGTCAAAGCATTTATTTCAATTACAAATACAACATGACTGCACAGTTCAACGCGTCGCGGGTTCGATTCCCGCACGGAACAACTCTTTGTGTGATCCACAGATTGTTGTTCCGTGTCTGTGTGTCATGTGTACGTGAACTTGTATGTTTGTAAACGTACACACGACACAGGAAACAATCCTAGTGTGGGGCAACGTTTTTTTTTAAATAAGATCAAAGATCAGATCAAATAAAAGTATGTTGTGATGTTATGTTATTTTAACCCGTTGAAATCCATCCCCTAAATTTGGTCATACAAAAGTAGTCTCTAAACATTACAAATAAGGTCTATAATGTAATGTAATATTAGTGGAAAGCGGTCACCGGTGACCGCTATTATGGGTTAAATTAAATTTATTTTAATTCCAGGTGGTACAGAGTAGCCTGCGATGAGACGCTTTGGGTCCGGATGGACCTGGGCAACAAGACCATAGCCAAAGACGCCCTAGGAAGAATTTTAGACAGAAAACCTGTCATACTGAGATTGGCTAGCTCCGAAGTAAGATATTTTTTATTTACACGCTTTTAGTACGTCGACGTGTAACGACCTACGTAACAAAATCTAAGAATTTGTCTTAGGTCTCATACACAAAACTGCGATGCGACGTCGCATCGAAGTAATTACAAAGAAAGAAAAATAATTTAGTTGCCATATGCATTATACTCCAGATACACAAACAATAAATGACAATAAAAAAAAAAATTGAAGATCTATGAACATAAAACTATGTGCGAGCTCTCTCCACGCATCGCAAGAACTTGCGAATTGATTCGCATCGCGCATCAACATCTTATCTTCCCAAAATCTTCTTTGTTTCTTTTTCCTGTATCTCCTTAGCAATAACAGAAGTGCACACTTCTTTTTACGATCCATGTCACGACCTAGTTTTCAATTTAAAATACGTTTAGTACGGTTGACGGTCGTCGAAGGAATGGTCACCCGGGAGACGCCTTGTCGCACGAAATCGCATCGTAATATTCTTCGTTGCGAATTCGTATCGCATCGCATCGCAGTTTTATGTACGAACTCTTGCACGCACTCGAATTCCGCGACCCACGACGCTTGAAACTAGTCGAGTTCCTCGTCAAACTGAATAAGCCGAAAACATAATGAATGACTGCACGGTTGGTGCGGTGGCTGGGCAACCGGCTTCCGTGCAACGTGTCGCGGGTTCGATTCCCGCACAGAACAACTCTTTGTGTGATCCACAAATTGTTGTTCCGGGTCTGTGTGTCATTGTGTATGTGAACTTGTATGTTTGTAAACGCACACACGACACAGGAGATAATACTAGTGTGGGGCAACGTTTAAAAAAAAAAAAAACAATAGGGTAGTTTCCTAAATTTTATTGTAATGTCCGTCTGGTACATTAATTTAAAACTTTACACACGTATTTTTTATTTTCTCACAAAATTAAATACTTTCGACGATATATTAATTTGAAATATCGTGTGACGTCACAGCGTGCCACATTTTGTAGCACGTTATGACGTAACAACCTCCCACTTCTAAACTTAGCGCCATTTTATCTAAGTATTGCAACTATAATACGAGAAAATAAAAAATACGTGTCTAATATTTTTTCTTTATCTAACTGACGGATCAATTAGATTTTTAATTTTGATACCCTGGAAACTACCCATTTCATTTAGTATGTCTCACGGAATTTTTTATATAAACTTAACAATTCTTCTACAGATAGGCGACTGGACGCCCACTGGAGAGTTGCCCCCGTCCCGGCTCCAGTTCCTGGACCTGAGCATGGCTACAATATCGACAGCCACCTTAGACACACTGCTAAGTTGCTGTCCGAATCTCAAAAAGCTAAGCCTTGAGAGCATTCAGATAGAGGACAATACTCTTAGAATCATCGGTGAGTTGTATATTATATTTATTTATTTATTTAAAACCTTACCTAAAACTATGATTACAGTTTTCTCCATTGCGATAGTTTAGGTCTAAAACTAAATCTATGTACCTAATTACTAATTTAAACAAGACAAAACAAATTGAAAAAGAGAGCTTACACAAACTTAATTAAACTTAACATTCATTCATCTTCTGCCCGCGACTTCGCGACGCGTCGTTTTCTCCCGTTCCCGTAGGATTTTCAGGACTTTTTTTCTGTCATAAGAACCTTCTTCTGACAATAATAAACACAACAAAAAAATAATCAGTCAAATCGGTCTAGCCGTTCTCTAGTTATGGCGTGACAACGGGGAACGGGTTTCATTTTTATATATATAGATAGATACGGTACTCGCCAACTAGTCAAATTCAATACTTTTTTCGAACTGTCAAAGACGACAGTTTTCTATGAATTTTGTACGAGATTGTGTATTGTGACGTCACGGTTTTTAGCGTCAAACAGCATAGTTCTTAAAATTTGCTGAAAAATTACTAAAATTAAGTTGGTCATAAAATAAAGTATAGTAAAAAGTACCTAATGAAAGTGTGAAAATTTTATAATATTTTGAACAGTCGAAATAATTTATTTTTGACTAGCTTTTACCCGCGCTTTTTTCCGGCATAAAAAAGAACCCTATCATTTAATCCAGACTTCTAACTTTACGTCTGCAAAAATTGAAAGCAATCGGTTTAGTAGTTACGGCGTGAAAGCGGAACAAACAAACAAGCAAACTCACTTTCCGATTTATAATATTAGTAAGGATTAAAGAAAGTACCCTATTTTAATGTATATGTGGCGATACTTACAGACTATTGATGAAAACAAAGCGACTATTTTATTTTATTATTTTTTACAGGACAATGCACAAATTTAGAAACATTGAACTTAACTATGGCGTTCGGGCTGAAAACTGAGGGTTTTAACTCATTATTTGAAGGATGCACCAAGTAAGTTCAAATTCCTATCTTTTACTAGCTACTAGCACACACTGCTCAGCTCCTATTGGTCGTAGCGTGATGTTTTATAGCCTACAGCCTTCGTCGATAAATGGGCTACCCAACACAACAATAATTTTTCAGTAGTTCCTGAGGTATTGTCAAACGAGTAGACGGATCACCTGATGGTAAGCAATCGGCGTCGCCTATGCACACCAACACCAAAGGCGTTACTATTGCGTTATCGGCCTGTTGAGAATAGGAGTTAGAGGATCAGGGATTCGGGGATTAGGGAGACTATTATTCACCACTAGCTACTGCCAGCAGCGTCACTCTCCTTCCTGTATGATATAAAGTAGCCTATGTGTTATTCCACACCATAATCTATACCTGTTCCAAATTTTATATCGATCTCTTCAGCCGTTTTGGTGTGATTGAGTACCAAACACGCAAAAACTCAAAGTTTCGCGTTTATAATAATAATAATTATATAGTAAGAAGATTATATTTACTAGCTACTTCCGCGCGGTTTCACATGCTCTGCTCAGCTCCTATTGGTCGTAGCGTGATGTTTTATAGCCTATAGCCATCTTCGATTAATGCGCTATCCAACACAAAAAGAATTATTCAAATCAGACTTGTAGTTACGGAGATTAGCGCGTTCAAACAAAAGAACAAACTCTTCCACTTTATATAATAGTATAAGATTATATAAATTTATAATGTGAATGAATTAAAAGAGTCGTGGTGGCTCGGAGGTTTAAGACGCCCGCTTCTCATAGATTAGGGTGCGGGCTCGAAACCTACCAACGGCATGTACCAATGTGACTTGTTCCGAGTTATATGTACTTTCTAAGATTATTTAGACACCACTGACAAACGGTGAAGGAAAACATCGTGGCCTAAGCTTATGATTTCTAATTATAACTTAGAAATCGCTAACTCGCATTGAGCAAGCGTGGTGGTTAATGGTCAAACCTCCGTGTGAGAAGATGCCTTTGGTCAGTAGTGGACACTTATAGGCTGTTGATTACGATCTCCGGCCACCGTAAGCGCGGGCCTGCGGACGGCGAGCATGGGTGGCTCCCCGTCCGACCAGAAACAGACCCGAGCGTACGGCGCCGAGCGTTCCGCCTCAAAGAGCCATCAGACCACCACAGATGGGGCCCAATACGGCCGATGCCGATTCGGAGTCGCGGAGAACCTAACGGGTAACCGGGGCTCCGGCTCGACGTGCAGGAGAAGGAACGGGGTGGTTTTTAGTCAGTAAGAGTCTGACACTCCCTTCCGCCTCACCCAGGCGGGAGCAGTCATTCGATGATTTTCCCCCCTTAAGGCTGTTCATTATAATGATGATGATTAATAATGAAATTTCATTCTTTTCAGCTTATTAGCTCTGAATCTTGGTTGGTGTGGTATTAGCGAGGAATCTCTGAATGCCCTGGTTGAGAAGGCCCCGGAGCGTCTCCAGCGACTCAATCTGGGTGGAGTCAGAACACTCACCGATAATTGTAAGTAATTTTAACCGACTTCAAAGAAAGCAGGTTCTCAGTTTAACCTGTATGTATGTGTGTATGTTTGTGCGTGATTGTCTGAACCGATTTTGATGTCGTTTTCAGAAAAATGTTTGTAATACTCGGGAGAAAGTTTTATACTTACTTAGCAGTCGAAAAAGAGATATAGATAGAGTTTCTTGCTCATTCTTTTACATTTTGTAATGAGCACCTAGCTTCATTACTCTCGCTCTACTAGTTTTAGCTTAATAACTCTACTAGTTTCGAACAATAGACCCTTCTTCCCCATGAGCAGAGTGAGCGGTCGCGGCGATGTCGCGCAGTCTACTGAGTAACCAGCGATTTTTTATTAATTTAGTATGTCTCACGATAGTTATTATAAAAATTATATAAGTAATCTTAATTTTACCCAAATAGCTTTGAAATAGCCTCTATTATACATACATACATAACTTTACGCCGGTCTCAGATGGGGGTAGCCAGAGACTATGGAACGCCAATTACGACGATTCCTACATACTTCTTTCGTTTCATTCAAAGTCAAAGCATTTATTTCAACTATTTGTTGACGTTTCAAAAGCACTGAAATTAAACCATAATTTGGTGCTTTTGAAACGTCAACAAATACAAAATAAATAATAGTCTGTCAGTCTGTCCGTCAGTGAAGCTAGGTGCTCATTCGAAGGTAGATTCGAATGGAGAAGAACGAGAAAGAAACTCCATTCGTTACTCTTTTTAAAAAAGTATGTTCTACAATGTCTCTGATACGTATTTCAATACTGTACGCATATTTAAGAACAATGCAAAGACACGCTTGACGCATTGTACTAATAACTTACTAAAATAAAAAATCTTAAGTCTAACATGGTGCTCACATATGCATACTGACAATCCATAGAAATAGTGCTTCTATACAAGAAAAAGGAAACTCTTTGTTTCAATAAAGACAGAAATGCTCGATGCCATGAGTCAACAGTCATCAATCTTTTATAAATAAATATGAATATAAATAACCTGCCTCATAGGCCTAGTGGTCGCAAGTGCGACTGCCGGGCAAGGGGTGTCGGGTTCGATTCCCGGATCGGGCAAAGTATTACTGGGTTTTTAATTCTCAGTAGTAGAACGGAGTCTGGAATTGTGCCCGGTATATGGCAATAGGCTCACCCTCTATTACATGGGACATAAATAGTGAAAAGTGGGTGTTACATTGTACAGTGGCATAATGTGCACCTCTGCCTACCCCTTCGGGGATAAAGGCGTGCCTTTAAAAGAGACAGACCTCTGAGTTTGTTTCGGCATTTCTTCTCAGCAGCTGTAGCCAAATGCCATTTAGCGCTTGTCTACTTGTAGAATAGAAAACCAAATTATATGGAATTGACGTATATTTTGACACTTGTCAGTGTGATTCCCATACATTTAGTTTTCTACTTTCTCTCTGTAGACAAGCGCTAAAGTGGCGTTTGGCTAAAGGCCCAGAGTAGTCAGTTAGGAAATGTCGACCTCATCGTTCGCTTGATGAAATTGACGTGTAAAAGTGCTGCCTTGTAGCCTATTTGCTGAAATAAATTCACTTGTTTCACTATGTATGAGTAACCTCTATTTTCTTAATTTTCAGTGCTGGACAGACTGGTAGAACGCTGCTCTCGACTGCTGGAGCTGGATGTCTCTGACTGTGGCCTGCTAACTATAAATAGTATCAGCTCGTTTATGAAGCTGCAAAGACTAGAGCACCTGGCTGTGAATCGATGCTACTCCATACCCGTAAATTCATTAACGTAAGTATTCTTTGTTTTTATTATGAAGTGTAGGAGAGCCATGCTTCGGTACGAATGGGCCGGCTCGACCGGAGTGATACCACGGCCGAGCAGAAAATCGACGTGAAGCAACGCTTGCGTTGTGTTTCGTCGTGTGAGTGAGGTTACCGGAGGCCCAATTACACTCCCCTTCCCCAATCTCTCCAATCCCTGAGTCCCCAACGATCCTCAAACTCCTAATCCCTAAAAGGCCGGTAACGCACTTGTAACGCCTCTGGTGTTCCAGGTGTCCATGGGCGACGCCGATTGCTTACCATTAGGTATTCCTGTATTATTACCCCATTACAATATTCGATTCTAATGTTATGATGACTGCCTTGTTGGCCGAGCGGTCGCAAGTGCGACTGCCGGGCAAGGGGTCTCGGGTTCGATTCCCGGGTCGGGCAAAGTAAACTGGAGTTTTAAAAAAAAATCTCAGTAGTAACACGGACTCAGGAATTGTGCCCGTTATATGGCAATAGGCTCACCCCCTATTACATGGGACTCATAACATGAATAGTGAAAAGTGGGTGTTACATTGTACAGTGTCTACAAGGCTTGATGTTATGTTATGTGTAATGTTATAATTTACTCTCCCAACAGCCGATTATCTCGAATGCCGCATCTCCAATATCTGGACGTTTGGGGATTGCTACAGAATCACTGCTTAGCATCATTCCGGGCCACCATGCCGCATATCACTGTCAACGCATTCATGTTCAGGTCAGTACAAATTGTTATGTGCGCACCCCCACCATTTTATTACCCAACTCTTCACTTAATACCTGTTCCCCTACATTTCCCATTTATTAATATTGTACCGCATTTTATCCCCTATCCGAATAATATGTTGAATATCCCCCATCGACATACTGTTAGTCCTCAAATGACATAATCCTAAAAATAAGAAAGTAATACCAAAGATAGTATAGTTAAATAAGTTGTGATATACTAAGGGATAAAAAACCCCATGTGGTATTCTAGCTAGACTATGATCTATCTCTGTACCAAATTTCATCGATATCCGTCCAGTAGTTTAGCAACGGCGCTTCCTTATGCTCGGGCCACACTAGCGTCAACGTCAATGTCGATTATCGCGATGTTGACTACGT